TCAAGGCTGCCTCCAAATTATTCAGTCTCTCAATAGAGGCAGCCTCGCGATCGGCAGCAGCAAATACATCGTATTGGACCTCAGAGCATTTAGCCTTGGCTTCATGAAATTGTACACTTAACCGGGAGGCCTCCTGGATAAAGGCCATCACTTCTTGCTCGCTCTATTGCAACCGAGCCTCCAACTCACCGGCTTCAGCAGCTTGTGCTTTTAGTACCGGGAGGCGAGCAACAACTTTGTCCCTCTCGGCCAATAGTTGACCTCTCGGGCGTAAGCTTCTCTTTATCAAGGATCAACTTCTAAAGTCCCTCTGAAGCAAGGAAGTTGGCCTGCGAAGCAAAAACCCAAGTTAGAAATCCTATCATAACAAATTAAGAGAAAACAAAGAGAACGAGTACCATACTGTTGCTACATTGTGCATGGCATTATTTGTCATACACTCCCCCGAAAGAGAGTGTATCTTCCTCTTGTCTTTCTCTGAAGCTAGTGACTTCAGGTAATTGGAGAGTTCCACCGGCCAAGAGAGCAGATGGCACTCGATGGAAATTGAGAGGAAGACACTCCTCCTCCTCTAGGGATCTACAGAGTGGGGCGAATAGTTGTGCCCCAAGTTCCCATGGTCTGGGGAATAGGGAGGAGGAACATCCTCCTCTCAGATGTATGTGGCCGGTGGGGTGAGGTAGCAGTTGCTGGTGACGAAGGTATAACTTGCGTGGAAGGAGATGAAGCTGATGGTGTTGTGGGTTGAGAAGGAGCTGCCGCAAAGGCAATGCTGGTGGTAGGTTGCTCATCAACTGAAGATGGAAGAGGCCCGACACTCAGCCTCATAGTACCGGGAGCAGCAACTGGGCCCGAAAGGGAGAATCTGCATTCTCCTCGGAGCGCTTAACACCGCCCTCGGTTGGTTTTATAAGCTCTTCTGATTGAGCATTATGTTGAGCCGATGAAGGTCCTTTTCTCCTGTGTAAGGAAGCCCCTTCATCACTGGCTTCCCCATCATCAATCACCACAGTGACAGCGGTTGGCTCGGGTACGACTTTCTTCACCTTTTTATTTTTGCCCTCGGTCGAGGAAGAGCACCTTCTTTTTGGTTGCTTGCTCTCCGGCTGGGGACTCCGAGAGGAAGCACTTGCACTGGAAATAGATCCAGTGGCACCTGTTCGGGTGAAACCTCCTTCAGCAGCCTCGCAGCCTCTACGGGATCAACCAAAACATCCTCATCGGGGATGGTAACAGAGCCCAGCGAAAGATCTGAATTCAACAAAAAAAGAAGTTAATTAATTTTCTTATACAAAACAAAACGAGAAGAGGACAAGATCAATCTCACGAGTCAATTTACCGTGATTCTTGGCCTTCCACCTATATTTCGGGGCCAGTTCTTTCCACTGGTCCAAGCCTTTTACCCTTGGTGGTGTCCACCGAGTTGCTGAAATAATGAAAAGGGAAGGATCATTAACAACACGGAACAACTTTTTTTCCAAAGAAAAGACAGACTTTGAACTTACGTGTACGAGTCCAGGACTAGGGAAAAGATGGAGTTGTGGCCAGGATGATATCCCTGGTGGCAACAACAACAAACCGCTTCATCCATCCACAGTCATTGTCGTCATCCATGCTGGTGAGCAAAGCATGGTGGCCATGTTTGCTAAGGTTTATTACTCCCACGCGGAAAATCTTGGGGGAGTAGAGGTTCATCATGCAAGCCAAGGTGAGCTCTTCATCCGTCTCCTGGCACAACCGCCGTAGATAAGGTACCGTTCTCCACATCGGAGGGCACACCTGTGCCAAACATATGTGGTATTTGTGGCACAATTTCAAAATTACGGGGTCAATTCCCCCGCTCAAAGAAAACGCACCCAAAGTGAATGGGTACGTATAAACATACATAAAACCCTTCATAGGGGAAGTTACTCGCTCTACCAGTTTGGGAGCGATGATGTTCTGGCAACCACAATCCTCCTTCACAACAGGAATGCTAGAAGGACGGATGGAAGAAGGGTACACGCCAACAACCCATGTGCGAGAGCTTGTAGAAGGAAACTTCTCTTCGAAGTCCTTGGTTGTGCTAAGTCTTCTGGGAATGATGGAGCTTACCGTAGGATGGGCAACATCATCGGTGCTTCCTTTATTTTTTAGAGAACTTGAGTTCCCGGAGGAGGGAGAATGGTTAGCAAAAAGTAATAAGAGTTCTTTGAAGAAGAAGATTATAGAAGAGTGAAAGCAAGAAAGAGTTGAATGCAAAGAAGTTGAGAGAGCTTAAAAAACTATGAAGTGTAAAAGAGGGACTTGATCCTAGGACCTTGTTCCTAGGCATAGCTATAAATAATGACTTCAACAACCATTGTAGGAGACGAAATTTCTGACAAACTTATGCTACACATTATTCTAAGCTCAATAATACTTTATTTTCTGCCTTTTGATATTCTTATTGTTGTCTTCGGAAGCCTTGCTCCCGGAACCAAGCTACTTGTTGTCTTATCTCGATTTCAACGCTAAGTCTTATATTTTGTTTAATTTATTTATTATTTTGGGATCAAATTGATTCGTTTGCCTATAAACCATGTTACGAATTCAACTGTATCGTTTTACGGATAAACACCACCCTTGGTTCTTATGGGAGTGGTGATCATGAAAATGTTAAACATAGTGCCTCGCAAATTTTAAAGGCTGTTTCAAACTTTGGCAACTTCTTTGAGTATTATTCTAATTTTCCTACACCTAAAGCTTGCCCATCTGTTCAAATTCTCATTATGTAAATTTTTTTAACTATATACGTGCCTTGCTAACTCATTGAAGTGTTAATTATTATACATTTAAAAATAGAGATAGAGAGTAAACTTCAAAAAAGAAGGCCAACCGCCACAACAAAATTCAGGAGATTCATATTCAAATCTTTTTGCAAAACAAAATTTACAATTTGGAGCCTTTTTTAACGGCACATAGTCTAAGCGTAATTCAATATTCATAGCAGTTTTGTTATTTCGACTGCGACCTGCATGTTGTAGAGGTTGTAAGGAGTGAAATAGTAAGCACAAAATGATATTGCCTAAAGATGACACAAATACAAATCTTTAGTTATCATTATTTTAGTTGTATCATTTTGTTCATTAGGTACGACCGACGTTAAACCTACCAGATATGTAGTTTTTTAGTCAATATAATGTCTTGTATATTAGTATAAAATTATGGTAACTTTAGGCAACATGCCTTTCTCATAAGTGCAAAGAGGATTTCCCTTGTCAAAAGGAGGAAATAATAGAAGCATTGTAACCTTACTCTCTGCATAGTAGGCGTAAGTGCAGCAGATGTTTATAGTATTAAATTTATGGTAGATATTCATGCACAAAAAAAAATTATATGTGTTCTAAACAATGAAACAATTGCGTACTGTATAGATTGCGATATAAAATTAGTATGCTAACCTGTTTTGGAAGTATAGTAGGAGCTCTTTGTATTAGAAGTACACTGTAAATGTCCTGATGTTGTTATATCAGTAGAGATGGTAGAAGTAGCTCTTTCAAAGCGATTATGTTGCAACATGTTTTATTTTTCAAAATATAATCGATTTCATATATTTTTAATTGTCTCTTTCCAATAATTAGCTTATGAAGAAGAAATAACTTCAAAATAATTTGATGATTCATTATTGACAAAAAAAGTTTGAAAATTATTTCTATAAGAAAAATATTATTTCTTATGCCTTTTGCTCCTTCTAAGTTCCTTGTTAGAGATATTTTCATTATTTGTTTCAACAGGTGTGAGGAATTTTATCAAACAATGTATAAATATATTCAAAGAACTCAACATTCTTTATCTCAATTATAGTATTGCAATCGAGCACATCACTTTTAAAACAAGAAATCTATATGCAGCACAATGTTCAACATATCCAATAAGCATACAATCGGCAGTTTAGAACCTAATTTTCTCCTTTTAGATTCATGCAAAAGTACTTTAGCAAGGCACCCCCACACTTTTAGATATTTCAAGTTAGGTTTATAATCCTTCTGCCGTTCATAAGGAGTTTTGCCAGTTCTTTTTAGGTATTCTATTTTGTAAGTGACATGCAGATAATATAGCTTCACCCCGCAATTTATCAGGTGCATTAGAATTAACTAACATGGAGTTCATCATCTCTTTCAATGTTCTATTTTTCTTTTCAGCAACTCCACGACTCGGGTGAATAAGGCGGAATTACTTCATGAATAATTCCATTCTTTCACAGACATCATCCTCTCTGTAAAACCTTGTTTACTAGTTAAATGCATATTTATCTTTTGTACCAAAAAAAAAAAAAAGGATAGTAACACACCACCAACATGTTGGATAGAAAACAGCACTCTATGCCTATATGCCATAAAAGTACCAAATATTCTTTTCTTTCTCCATCACTTTTATGTTCTTCTTCAGCTAGCAGGGAACCAAAGAAGAAACATTAGAGCCTCACTTTATTCTCCTTCCCCTTCCTAACGATGATAGAAGAAAAAATAGTTGCACCGTTCTACCATCAAGATAGAAGGTTAAAAAAATATTGAATATTATCATTCGTCATATTTGTTGTCATTCATACGCTTGTCGTTAGCAAATGGTTTAGTATTTGATTTAAACTTAATGGAGCTCCAATGAAGTACTATAAAGGGTAATTTTAAAGCATAATCAAAAGTAGGAAGATAAATATGAATATATTTTTACAAAAAAATATTTTGACACTTGGAATCTATACACTCAACGGTAGAGTTGCCGTAGTTCCCAGGGTGTTTGAAATTTGAAAGAGGTGAAACAGTTCCCCGACAAAGGGTATTTAATATATGTTATATACCTTTAAAACCTAATATTTTACTATATACATAGTGTAATTTTTTTATAAATGGTGGTTAATTAACCACCCTTAATTAGCTAAACACAATGTAGCTTCGTGCATGTGATCGTTAAAGTAAAAGGCAATTAAAAGACAATTTATTAACAACAAAGATATAAAGGACCAGAAAGTATAACCGGAATGAAATTGAAATATTTCGTATAATAGAAAAGTAAATTTGGACCTTTTATCAGAAAACAAGAAGAAAAAGAAACACCTTCACCTCCAGAAAGAGTATAAAATGTTCCAAAGTAGTTTGAGATTTTCATTTCCAATCTTCTATCTTTTCTATTGAAGTACTTGCTGAAGCACTTTACTATCTTGTTCCACTTGATTTCTCTTCCTTATTCTCATGATGGCTGAACCAAGAGTTGAACTCAAAGTGACCAATACCAAAATTGCTGAGCCAGTGTAGACACCATCTTTGACTATATAGCATTCTCCATCTAACCATCCTTCACCAAAGTGCTGATTTCTGCTCATGCTTGTGGATGCCCCTATTAAAATTACAGCAATTCCAAAGCTGATCCTGCACCCACCATTCCATTTCTGCAACTTGTTTAGCTTATTATATTATGTTTAGAAAGAATTAATCTAAATTATTGTTATTTACCTAACTGCTTATATATATATATATATATATATATATATATGTTTGACTCAAAAGTTATTACATACCTTATGAGTATAAAACAATACAAACAAATCACCGGAAAATCATAGCAAACCGTAATAATCCGTTGGACCAAATGAAGGAAACAAAAATAAGTACTCAGGATTAGGAGGAGAATCATTA